TAATATAAAATGTCGAGTAGTGCCTTACGTGCAGTAGTCGGTTAAATGTTCTGGAAATCTTACTTTTCTTCCAGAACGCGTCGTCTTAAGTTTATTTTCAGACATATTCGGAGTGTCATCGCTAGTGTTGGTTGTCGATTGAGGAATTATGAGTGTAGGAGTCGTGTTATGCGATTGTACCTAAGGAAAGTCGACGTGAATAGGAGTTCCTTCCAAATACGCTGCTTTGAGGCGATCGATGCTGATGGTATCGTTTGTTCCGTACTTATCGACTATATAGTACTTAGATTCGCGTTGAAGAACTTTGATAGGTCCTTCGTATGCTGATTCGAATGGTCGTCGATGTGTGTCTCGACGAACGAAAACGTGTGTACTATATTGTAAGTCAGGTTGAACGAAAACATCGGTGGATTGTGGTCGAGTGGAAGCAGGTTTGACTGAACGCATTGCGTTTGTAAGCCTGTTCGTGTAGGAAGTTAGATCCATGTTCATTGAAGAGGATGAAGGATCCACGAATTCTCCTGAAAGTCGAAGTGTCGTTCCATAAACGAGTTGAGCCGCAGTGCATCCAATGTCAGCTTTCATTTCATTGCGGATACCTAGCAAGACGAGTGGAAGAGCGTCAGTCCACTGTGAAACGTTTGCGGCTGATAGTGAAGCTTTTAATTGTTGGTGAAAACGTTCTACCAACCCGTTTGCTTGTGGGTGGTAGGCGGTCGTTCGGAAGCGAGTGATTCCTAAAAGTGTGGTCAGACAACGAAAAAGTTCAGATTCAAACTGACGTCCGCGACCTGTAGTGATGGTTGAAGGGCAGCCGAAGTTTGCTACCTATCGTTCAACGAAGTTGTGGGTCACTGTTTCAGCAGTGATGTCCTTGATAAATACTGCTTCTGGCCATCGAGTGAAACGGTCTACGCAGGTTAAGAGGTAGGAGTATCCATTTGAATCTGGTAAAGGTCCTACCAAATCCAGATGAACATGGTCGAAACGAGCATCGGGAGTTTTAAATGAGTCTAAGGGATATTTATTGTGTCTGATGACCTTAGATTTTTGGCAGATTACACAGGAGCGTGCCCACTCCCTCACGTCTTTATTCATACCAGGCCAGCAAAACCGTTGGGCTATAAGCTCGATGGTTGCACAAACACCTGGATGAGAAAGTTTGTGCAATGTATTGAGGACATTGCGTCGACAATGTTTCGGCACGATTGGACGATCCCTACCTGTAGATGTGTCACAAAGTAAGGTTTCCTTACCTGTTCCCATCTGTTTGATGCGTAGTTTGAGGGTTGTGGACGATAACTCGTGCTGAAGATCAGTGTCTTCTTTTTGAAGCTCGGCGAGTTTAAGAAGGTCGATTCCTTGGAAACTGTTCAAGGAATTTATTCGAGACAAGGCGTCTGCAACTACATTGTTTGCTCCAGAGATGTGCTGAATGTCTGAAGTAAACTGCGAAATGTAGTCCAGTTGTCGGGACTCACGGGGAGAGTACTTGTCAGAAGGAGAGCTTAAAGAGAAAGTGTACGAAGTTGAGACCTCGAAAAACGTCGTCCATGAATTTTTGGAATGTTTGAGCAGCGTTCCTTGGACCGAAAGGCATTCACAAAAATTCATAGAGTCCGAAGGGAATGATGATATCTGTTTTCGGTATGTCGTCAGTGGCCATGGGTATTTGGTTATACGCTTTAACCAAGTCGAATTTTGAAATGACTGTTGTACCTTTCATGGTAGCTGTCAAATCGTGAATGTGAGGCAACGGGTAACGATCGGGAATGGTTTTTTCATTCAATCGCCGATAGTCGCCGGTTGGACGCCAATCATTGCTGTTCATTTTTAGGAACCATGTGCAACGGAGATGCATATGAGCTGTTGGACAGTCGTATGATTCCTAAGTCTATCATAAGATCGAATTTGTTTTTCGCCGACCTTAGCTTTTCAGGAGCTGGTCGTCGTATTTTAGAGAATACAGGTGTTCCTGTATTCGTGATGTGATGTTTAACGTTGCTTTTGACGAAGTTCCGCACAACCGGCTGTTATATAAGCTAATAAATGTCGGAACTGGAGGCAATCTATTAATGTGGATAAAAGACTACCTAGTTGGGCGCCAACAAAGATTACGGGTGAACTTAAGGTTATCTAGCTGGGAAACTGTGCTTAGTGGAGTGCCTCAGGGTACAGTCTTGGGGCCAGGGTTATCCCTCTTGTATTTAAATGACCTTCCTTGTCTCCTAGAATCATCTGTCTTGCTATATGCTAACGATGTCAAGATGTGGAAAACGATACGATGTAAGAGTGATAGCTTCGAACTTCAAAATGACCTGAAGATATTATCTGAATGGTCTAAAACCTGGCAGTTGCCGATAAATACTTCCAAGTGTGTTGTGTTGCATATCGGCCATCAAGGTACAGATACATACACGATGAATAACACTAAGCTACCTGTCGTCCAGATACATAATGACTTAGGAGTCATCGTTAGCTAAGACTTTAATACTGCAGACTGCCGTGCAATAGCTGCCAAAGGTTTTAGAACCTTATGGTCAATACGTAGGGCTTTTGTCATGTCGACGCTAAAACGTTCTTGACTTTGTACACAGTGTTCGTACATCCTAAACTTGAGTACTGCATACAAGCGGCTAGCCCCTGCTTGAAAAAAGATAGTGAGCTTCTGGAAAAGGTTCAGAGAACAGCAATTAAGCTGATTCCTGGAATAGCGATGCTTCCGTATGATGCTCAACTGGCCACGCCAAATCTTTTCCCGTTGCCATATCGCAGAACTAGAGGCGACTTGATTACAATCTACAAATTACTTAGTGATAAATTTGCACCTGATATGCCCTCATTTTTCTTGTCTTCCAAAACAGAGAATTTACGAGGACACTCCAAAAACGTTCACAAGCCGAGAACAAATTACTTGTCAGCTGACTATCGACATTCCCGTCGAATCATCAGCGAGTGGAACTCATTACCTCCGCACGTAGTTGAGGCTCCATCCGTCGACTCTTTCAAAAGAAAGTTGGATCAACTGAGAGACCACCATTGCCAGGACTAACATAGACCATCGAGCCTCCTGTCCTTCCCAAACTGAAACTGAAACTAATTTATTCTCAAATAACAGTTTGTTACATGAGGCATGCCAGTTTACAGGCAAGATCAAGTTGATACAAATGATACGATATCCATTGTAGTAAATTACATAGCTCTTTTGATAATTCATGAGATATGAATGTAGATGGATTTAATCAGTACCACAGTTGGCGCGCTTCATGAAGGTTTCGTTTCACATGTGCAACTGATGGTCAAGGATAGGTCCATTAAAGATGTGAGCTTCTAAATGTTGCAACTTCATGTCCCTTCGGAATGTCTAAGGCTTTGAGGATGGTGCAAGATGATATCTTTCCTACCATATCACAAGGGGGCTGAAAGAGGGAGCAAGTAAAAGAAAACACGAGAGGCAGAGTAGCCAATATTCATGAAGGAATGTTTAAGGTATGAATGCTCAGTCTAATTTTCTCTTATTAAGGTATTTGTTAAGAAAGAGCATTTTTATAGGTCAAAGAAAATAAGTGTTAACAAGGTGTGAGTGGACATACAACTGACAAATGGAGGCAATTCGGAAAAGAGCTGAGTGTATGAGATTATGTGTGGTCATAAAATAAAATATAGTGCTAGAAACAGTATTGTGATATACAATTGACTGTCTTCCTTTTATTATCGAAGCTATTAGAGCCCCTTTCGTTTTTTTAAATATTTTTTCCCCAGTTATTATAGGGTCTTGATTGGGCTTCGTATATTAGCGAATTGTCTAGCTTGCTTGTAATAGGATTTCTGGGTAGGAAGTGAAACCAATTCAACAATCGTAACACGATTTAAAGAGGTATTTTGCGTGATAAGTCAGCATCAATACCATAAGTTCGTGACATCCCACTAAACCATAAGGAGCCGTAATTAAACAAATTGTTCTGCCCTACAGACATGGGCGGATTGAAGTTATCCCCTCACCATCATGTTTGCTGGTCAGTAACGCCACCCTCCGTCCTTTTTTAATGCATATAAATATTTAATTTTATTGATTTCATTGTTCAACAAGAAAGAAACAACGCATTATATGAGTTATAGTAATGATGTAGCAATTAGAACAAGGAATGTATCATGTGCGTGTCAAGAAGGATGCGGTGACCAATACATATATATAATATTGGCAAATAGATAAACAATAACAGTAATAATAGTAAGTTTGTACTCCAGAATAGAGACAGAAATGCATTTGGCTATATATATATATATATATATATATATATATATATATATATATATATATATATATATATATATATATATATATATATATATATATAATGCGTATTTAGTCCTTTTATCATCATCAACAGCAACATCTTCCACCCAGTCATACACACACTTAAAATGAGAGAAATATTACAAGCGTTAAAATGTTGAGTATGTGAAGAAAGTCAATCGTGAAGTAGATGCACAATAAAAGAAAGATGCAATAAAACAAATTTACTATGTATGTATATATAAATGTATGTGCAAGAGAAATAATAGGAAACAGCATATATGAGGCAGCTCCATAACTTAATGGGTAAAAACTGACTGAATCTTACAACAACAAAGCAATAACAACAAATAGAAACAAGTGAACAACGTAAATATAATAATCTCTTTAAAAACCAATCGAATAAAATAACTGAAAAGCCAGTCGATATACACAGAGGGACACATACACAATGTTTACTTTCTAATGACTTCGTAAAGAAACTTTCGTACTGTAAGATTCCTATCCTATTTCTCGATGTAGTAATATGGATGGATAGCTGCTCCTGTTATCAAGCACGTACGCACACACATATATACGAAGATATAGAAATGAAATACTATTCTGTTTTTTAAAGCCGATACAACTGATGAAAAGATGAGGACTGAGATTCATCAGTTAAAAATTAGTTATGTACGTCAGTGACAAGCTGATAGCTTTTTGGTTAAAATAGGTCTATACGATAGCCTGGATAGTTAAGAGGACCATCGCCGACAGCTGAAGCTTTTTCATTTAATATTTGGATAGATGAACGTGAAATAACGGCGGCAACATTAACATGACAATTGTTAAGACGTCCAGCATTCACACCGAGCCATACTAATAACTCCTCAGTTTCATAGGCCAATATTAAAGAGACATCATCACCATCCCATGATTCTTTTCCTACGACTAAGGATTCTAAAAGAGAGCATGTTGATCTTACATCAGTAGCTACATAATAACGAGCTTGAACACGTTTAAGCCACTCAGCATCAACGTAATTTGATATTCCACTACCTGGTAGAAAATCAACATCAACATAAATCGGTTTGACCTTGTCATATAGAGGAGCCTTTGCTGCACCAGGAGCATGACCAGAGGCAATAGTATAGCCAGAAGGATAACTGACTGACCGGTTGCTTATATTCGAATGTATTCCACCAACTCGAGGTGCAAGAGAAAGACGACCCGACCTCGTCAAATGAGATGCGGATTTCTTTTCACCGTTTGTTGTTGCAACCGATTCAGGTTTTTTGCCAAATTCTGAACCTGTAGGCGGTAAAGGCAAATTCTGGGGTGATCCGCATGATGCAATTGGAGCACATTCATCAAAACCGGTTGACATCATTTGATTAAAATCCTTTAAATTATTATTATTATTAAGACTAGTATCAGTATTACTATTAATAAGATTGTCAGCAGCGATAAAAACATTTTCACCATAATCTTGCAACTTCATTGAATTCACGTCATGAATCAATAAATCATGATTCGTTTGATCTGAGTTAACAGAAAGCTCAAAATCGGAATGATCATGAGCAAAACCATTTGTTTTATGCATAATATCATCACTGATAATATTATTTGATACAATATGAATATCGGAACTTTCAGTAATTACTGCTGAAGGTATCAAATTTGGTGTAGAAACTTCATTATCATGAACCTCTAGTTGTTTAGATGGTGACTCCACAACATCAGAATTTTTCAGCACGTGATTAGTTTTGTTAACAGGAGGTTTAGCATTCGCTTGTGTTTTAATGCTTGTAGGTGTTTTACCATCTGTTTACGTTCTGTTAAGAACGAAGCAATCCATGAGTACAGTGGGTTGTGTATTCCGAAGGACTTTAGTTTGATGAGTAGCCTTTTGTGTGAAACCTTACCAAAGGCTTTCTTAAAGTCTAGGAATAGGACTAATACAAGGAGTCCGCTGTCTCGTTTCAGAGTTATATCATTCAGGTAATCTACTAGGCATGTATCGCATGATCTGGACCTAAGAAATCCATGCTGGGATGTCAAGATGAGATTATTAGCTAGTAGATGTTGGACTACAGCTGCCTTAACTACCTTTTCCATCACTCTGGATACCACTGGAGTTATGTTTATAGGCCGGTAATTTTCAACGTTTGCTTCAGGTCCTGTTTTAATTTTGGGAATGGTATGTGTAGTTTTCCTGGTAATAGGGTAACACGCTGAAGAGAGTGATGTCGCGAATAGTTTGAGAAGCAAAACACACATATCATCACCTCCACGTTTTAGCACGCTAGATGGAATACCATCTGGTCAATCAGTGTAGGAGTGTTTCAATGTACTGATTGCCTTGGAGATATTTTGTACACTGAATTCTCCGTTAGTAATTTCACAGGGAGTTACTGGAATTGGTTCTGAATCATTAAATGCCTTTTCGTTAGTTAGTGAGAAACAAAAGTGTTCACTAAATAATTCTGTGACAAGTTTGGGATCTTCGTATACTTGTTTGCCTTTAATGAATATACTCCCTCTCGATTTAGAGCGTTTAATTTTATTTTGGAGTAGTACGGTGAGTGCAGAGGAGTTATTATTAAGTTCAACTGCACGTTTTTCCTGTACTACTGCTTTGTGTTTACTTATTGCCCCTGTTCGGACAAGTATTTCTGTCATCGTTATTAAAGAGAAAAAGTCTTTCAAGTTGTGGAAGCGAGTAGAATGTCTTTGAGGACGTCTTTTTGTACTGACCAGTATATAGAGATCTTTGGAGAACGTCGGTTTACATTATTCTAAAGGTGCGATGTTGTTGATGATACTTTTGATGTTGTGATAAAATATATTGGTTAGTGTGTCAGTATTGTTTGAGGTAAAGAAAGTTCTCCAATCAGTGCTTCTTAGGTAATTGTGGAAGTTATTCTAATGAACCTTGCGATAGTTTCTACGAAGTGTTACGGTTTTACTTCTATCGGTTGTGGTTTTTACATTAAGGCTGCATATGACAATATTATGATCACAACCTGGAAACGTTTTTCCAATATACAAAGTATTGGGGATGAGGCCACTGGTAAAGACTAAGTCTAAGATGTAATGATGTCTGGTAGGGCTATCAACATACTGAGTCCATTGTAAAAGCTCTAGACATCCAATAAATGATTCATAACGTCTCGGCGCTTCGACTGGCAGCCAAGACATTTCGGGCATATTGAAGTCACCACAAATGAGCTTGCCTGTGAATGAGAGGGGTGATGCTAGTGTGAATACCTCCGATAATACTGCTATTTCATCTATTGATGCGCTAGGTTGACGATAAACACAACCGAGCAGTAAGGTAATGGAATTCAACGGCTTTAATACAACCAACACCGAATCCTTCAGTTTAGTTCAGGTATATCACATAGTAGTGAGTTTAGGCTAGAGTAAGCGTAAATAAGGCATCCTCCGCCTCGTCCATTCAATCTGTCGCTTCTATATAGGGAATAGTTATCAAGAGATAGACTTCGATTAGAAATATTACTGTTAGTCCATGTTTCAGATATCATAATAGGCGATGGTTGATATATAGATACAAACAGGGCTAAATTCGTCAAATTGTTGAAGATCGATCGAGCGTTGATAAGACATACGTTAAGCAAGTGGCCTACTTAGTTAAAATGGGTGAGGGTATCTCGGATAAAGTCGTCGCAACCCTCGCGGGTGTGAGATGAGTTTGAAGTGAGGGATTGAATGTTCTTCATTAGCTCGGTATTTTGATAGATAGACTTAGTGGGAGATGTATCTAATGAGCTAGGAAAGTTGATTGGGGAGTTTAACCAGGAGGAAAGGGTGGGAGTACTCTCTGATGGAAACTGTACGGAGGAAACAAATTTATGGTTTGCATGTGGTTTGAAATAACATGGGCTATATGCTTCAACAGAGGTGTCATTAGGGGTCTTATTCCAAAAAAATCTTGTACAGGCCTACTGTGAAGTGTATGGTTATTTACAAAAGTCTTGATGGTTAGATTCGTAGCCCCTGTTATGGCTATTTACGTTAGCGTGAGAGGGGTCTGCTACGCGTAACTGGGAGGAGTTGCGACTGTTGTTATACATGGGAGCCGTTGTTATGTGATGGGTCGGTACTAAAGGGTGTGAAAAGTTTTCTTTCTGAGAGTAATTACAGTTGTGATCCTGGGGAATGTAGGTAGAGTGTGGAGTGAGAAACCTATTATTATCATTCTTATTTATGGTTTAAGGCTTCAGGGTGTGACTTGGGTGGCCAGTTCTCTGGTAGTTTTCGTTAGTCTGCGTGTAAGAAGGCTTGCTACGCTGAAGCCCACCACCCATTTTGCAACTTAGAGCTGTTGAAGGCAAGTTATACGATAGCAGCGGGGAGAACCTGTTCACTGTTCTTGGGATACCTATAGAGCAGTTGGGTTCAATCTTACGTGTTTCCCTATTCGGTATCATGAGTTTTGTCTTCCCACCCTTTATCTTCAGAGCTGGAGTCTTTCGTTGTCTCTGTGAGATGAACTTAGGTTCATTCAAGTCTACTTGTGGAATATATTCAGGAGAACAAATTTTCAAGTGTATAGGTTTAATTGGATGTGTGTTATTACACGACTCATATTTTAGTACATTACTGAACGAACAACTGGGATTAGTCATGTCGTTATGGTTTTTGGTGTCATTTGCGGTCCGCATCTTATCCAAATGTTTCTGATCTGTAGACTCGTTTAGATCAACAGAGTGATCAGCCGTATGTGGAGTGGTGTCATGCTTATTGTTCGTGTGTTTTAACCTATTTGCTGTGTCGCAAACTGTTTTTGGCTGATTATTAGCTGTAGCACTCGCATTCAATTCTATCGCTTCACGTCTTCTTACACGACGTTGACAGGGTGTAAGGTCTGGAGTGACTTTTATATTCTTGTACGGAATTTGTGAGCTAATATTTTTGCTCAAATCAATAAACTGCTTATCATCGTTACAACAGCCAAACAAAGACAAAAGGGGGCAAGTCGATCTGTCTGACTTTTTTCTAAGGCGGATGACTTTGCAGTTAACGTTCGGCATACTGCATGCTCTGAGGCAAATATCCCTTAACTTAGATGGGTGTGTGCGGTCGGGGAGGTTATGTAGAATTTATGGTCTACTATGATATTAGTATTGCTCTAATAATAGACCTAATCCTAAATCTGTAGATTTATCATGATATGACTGCCTAATCTATAAGATCTTACGTCGAAGTCACACCATCGACTACACCAACTCACTGTATCGTATCAATTACCAATACATGATGTAGAACAAGGTTAGGCTAGAGAAAGAACAATATATTTAATATGAATAGAAGATATAAGGTAACATTCCGCAGAGAACACGCCTGCATGGCCGAGCCATGCCGTTCGATCAACTCTAGTCTAACCCTGTTCTACATCATGTATTGGTAATTGATACGATACAGTGAGTTGGTGTAGTCGATGGTGTGACTTCCACGTAAGATCTTATAGATTAGGCAGTCATATCATGATAAATCTACAGATTTAGGATTAGGTCTATTATTAGAGCAGTACTAACATCATAGTAGACCATAAATTCTACATTGGTGAGCCCAACTAAAGAAACGCAACCTATTATTGTTAATCCTTATATCCACCTTTACCTTCTCAATCGATTTTTATTTGTGTAAACCCATTATTCTAATAGTCCTCTGATTAATGCTCACATGTATTATCGTAATGTTATACTGATTACTTCTCATAACGTACTAGGTCAATCGATAATAAAAACTGGACGTCTAAATTAACTAATTAGCTTTGATGGTTCGTTGACAAGCTTTAATAGCATTTACATGCTTCAGCGACATAGACTTGTTTAAACATCAAGCTCTAGCAAATATGACCTGTAAATATACATTGGCTAACAATGCAATCAAGGATTGAATAGTTATTTGGATCTAGTTCTTATTGTTCCTTCACTTAACACCTCATCCTGTTTCAAACTATGCACTCTCCTGTAATATCTTTTCTTCCGACCACTGCCTGCCTAATTTCATATTCCGGAGTTCCATTGCCAAACAACAAAGAATCACTTCTCCAAAAACATGGCTCGTTCAATGACAACCACATAATTATCTGGATTCATTCGATTGTTCTGATCCGAGTGAGTGGCAAAAATGTCAACAGCATCAAGCACCCTGGAATTAATTGCCATACTGCATGCTTTATTCTGGATACTTTTGGATCATTACTCCTCACGAATGGCGTTATATATGTCGTCCACTGAATAACCTAATTTTCAAAGATAACCCAGGCGAGTTCAACCATTTTACTCAATGATTTTTTGTACTTAACATGTATATTTTTTACCAGTTGCTTTTGCCACATATTTGTAAGTGTCCCTAGGCTAAATGCAGTAACTTCTTATGGAATGTTTATAACGTATCATATTCCTGCCTGGAGTTTTATAAGCATTCTTAGCTTGAAAATTATTTTCTGGTCATGTTCATTATTTTTAAATCGTCATATACGTCAACAACCTGCATGTTACCCTGGCCCGTACATGCGTTGCACAATATCTCCATGTCTTCTAAATTTAGAAATCATCTGGATCAACTGCACTAGTAAAATAACTAAATCCCTAGGTATCTGTTGGTTAAACAAACTTTTAAAATCAAAACTCCGTAGCCTACTAGAATTAACATTAAACAAATATTTCTGAATTGAAATTTATAATTAAATTAGGCGTCTCGGATTCTTTAACGTTTAAAAATTTATGATAATTTTGAATCACCTAAAGCAACAATACCTATTTTTCCACTGACATCCACAATCAACATTA